CAAGAAAATTATGTTTTCTAATACTAATTTTTAAGTTATTTACATTTACAGGAATGGCGGAAATTTTAAGCTATAAGAGGCGCTAATGATGATAGTTCAGAGTGGAGCTTTGCTACTAATTATTCAAAAGTGTACTAGCAACGAAAGATTTACACCCTTTTGTCTCTAGTCTTTCTTGGAGAAGTGCAGCGGCTTACAAATGAAAGTTCGGCCAAAAGTTAGTCCCCCGAATCGTGAACATCATTCCAGCAATGTGTAGTGAGCCCCGTTACGGTAATGCATCGCCGGCAGCGCGGTGTGTCGTGAACACCGCGACGGTAATATGTCGTGGGCATCGTAAGGAAAAAGGTTGCGAGCCGTACAGGACTGCAGGCACCGCCGCGATGTGTTGCTGATGAGGGTCGCCGTGTGATGGCGACAGCGACTGATAAGCTGAAGTGCTCCTCCTGCTCTCGCGCGTGCTCATCGCTCTCCATCATGAGACTGATAGCCTCGCAGTGTCGTCGTCGTTGCGCCTCTCTTGACAGGAGATATTATAAACTTGTCTCAATTTCTCAACATTGTATTTTAGCGCACTGAAATCCCATTAAGAGTACAGTATCCCTGCCCCCAGCATCTCCTAATTCACTACTGTATGTCCAAAGAAAAAACGATGTTATGCAATGGAACTAAATGAACGCCGCTTGTTACCATCAAACGAAACAAGTTACCCATCTTTGCATCATCGTGCACTCGGAATCATAGCGTGGTGCTGCATTTTTCCGATCCCGTGCTTGTGATGAACTTTATGTCAATATACGTTTCCTGTTGTGCGTTCCTTCTATCTTATTTCATGGCTTAAAATCTTTTAAAACTATTGCTGCTAGAACTTGTACCATGCATCTTATTGATCGGCAACAGCTGCTGTCTGGACTGCTCCGAAAATCGGCGAGTCTCAACTTCACGGTTTGCTGGCTCTCTTCCAGCATCTTCACGTGTTTTCTCTTTGCCGAATTTATGTCTTTGTTCGTCATGTAATGGCTGTGTATGAACGAAAATATTCATTACTATTCCGAAATAAACTGCACAATGGTATTTGAAATCGAATCTTTACTTGCAGATATTAAAAAAAGCAACAAAAAAGTTTAATTCTATTTAATTACTATCCCGCACCAGGGCGGTACGGCATAACAGCATCCAATTGCCGTTTTTGTAAAACTTTCAATGCTAATATATATATATTTGTTTTTGTTTGCTCTCCGCTAATAAATTTTGTGTGTACAATGCTACGATCATTTGCAATGCAGTATAGCATTTATATCAATCTTTATGCACGGAATAGCCCTTCTTAAGAAAAACTCGCAGTAAAAAAGTGGACGTTTTGTTTTCAGCGGCACGTACAGGTTGCCATCGATGTTACTGCTCGAAAAGTACACTTGTGGGGCGTGTTTGTGGTGGTACAACGAAGCAGCGTCTGGCCCGTAAGAAGCTTTATGCAAGCCTCAGCACATTGGCTCTATCGCACTTTAAAGTGCCCGCTGCAGGTTACCAGGCGCGTTCAATTATGAGTCTACGTGGCTCCTCTTCTTTAAATTTCGAGCTTCTTCAATTGAGCTGCGCATTATCTAGTATAACTTCGACCGTATTTTTAATATTGCTCTGTAACTGGGAAAAATAAAATTTACGCATTTTTACGGGATCGTTACTATTAACGAACTTCTATGAGAGACAATAGTTGCACTAATGCATTTCTAATTTCCTGAGGGATTTTAGTACCATGAACTTTCTGAAAAGGGATTGAAATACTCGTAAATTAGGGCTAAACGTTTGATTCTAGCTTTCAATGGTTTTGAACTGTTCTGATGAAATATGACAGCATATTGACAAATTAGATATTCATGAGGCCTGAGAACAGAATGATTTGGACCGAGCCTGTTATTTTATGGTTACATGTCATTATCGCAGATTTTTGTGTCTTCTTTTGGCCACGTTTTATTATTGATGGGATGGGATGTGACAACAAGCCATTCCTCTTACCGCAGTCCGTGCCGTAGAGCCTTGTAGATCAGATACTGTCTATGATCTGCGAGTTATCATCGGCGGAGACGCAAGGGATGACCGAACTTAAAGCGTTCATCTTAGTGACTTGAATGGCGCCGGTAAATCAGTGTCATGGGCGCAGGCATCTTCTTCACAGCGGCGCTGAAACACCAAGTTCTAATGTAAAGAGCACAGAAATTATTGTAAGTGCACCTTATATTGTAAGTGCGTGTAAGTAAATAAATCGAAAACTTCTTGAAATGCGAATGATGTAATTGGGAATTCTCATTCTTTTGAGTGAAATAATGAAATGGGGGGCTGCTGAAAATTACTGGTTTGCCAGATGTGATTTGCTCATTATATTTGCCATTCATGATCGTTAGTATTATGCTGTCAAGTTTACGACGCGATGTCGATAATTATAACGGTTTCACCGTTTGGCGAATCCAAAAGTGCATACAAATAACGAACTTTCTTAGAATCAGCATATGTCAAGATTATTATGTAAAAAGGTGTTTTATCTCGAACTTTATTTAACCTCCGCATTCTATTTTGAAGCTTACATTTTTTCGTTATCTTTAGCCCGCAATTTCGTACTTATGACGCTAGAAATGCCACTAATGCTCGGCATAAGCAATGGGACTAACTTTCGATACTGTATGAATGAATCTCTCGGAGTTTCATTGGAGTTTCTTTGCGACCTCGATATTATTCTATCAACAGCTTGACCTAAGACTCAATCTTGCAATACATGAGGATTTTATCCTCATTTATCCTTGAGCCATATTTTTGACACGCGCGCGTGTCAAAATTTTGTGTGTAGGATTACTGGGATTGCGTTGGTTATTTTAATTGGAATGTGCAATATGACCTCGTATTTAGATAACGGTGTCGCGGTGCTAATTATTTCTAGGATATCATGCGAGTTTTCTGAAACCTTTATTATGGTTCTGCATTAATTTCTCCCTTTTAATATTAACAACTTAATCTGCATCTCATGAATACCAAATAGATTGTCATTTCAGGGAAGGCGACCAGCGAGTCTATATCTAGCAAACGGTTTCTGTTAGTGATTATTATTCTTATTTTTCTTGATTTAATTCAGCAACAATGCGACTCACTCTCCGTTGCCTGATTGCTTAACGCCGGCATGACATTCGTGATTATGTACGTCGTAGACTTCATCTCAATGTCAAACGAGAAATTTCTCTCAAACTTTCATTTCATATTTATTGTATTGCGTGTGACAAGGACATTGTTGCTTGGATTATTTGCCAGCCCAAGGTCGAGTTTGCTTTTGTATGCAGATTAATTCTAGTTTTGTTTATTTTGTATTGAAGGCTTGCGAGAGGCTCAAATATGCGAAGTAAGCAGGAATTTGTTTGATTTAGAGTTTAATGCGCGATATTTTTCTTGGGCGATTCGAATAGAAGAAAAAAATAGCAGGATAGGTGAAATTTGCGTCTGGCTATTCAGCTTCTCTTCCTGCGCCGGCTGCAATCGATACTCAAGCAGTGTTTTTCTAGAGAAATCCAAGAAGAAAATCGAGGGATCTACGAGAGATCCAAGAAGTTGACCCACTTTCTCTTGAGCCATTTTAAAGCAATGAAAATCGAACGCTGTATAAAAAGAGTTCTCCTGAGAAGACAATTCTTTCTTGGGAAGTGTCTGGGGCTGCTTGGTCATTTTTGATTGGTCGTTGCCATCGTCTAAAAACTCCTCTGCGCCTCGGTCATTAATACCATACGGGCACTGTTGTTTTATCCTCAAATTTATTCACTATCCCAATTGTTAGCTTTAGTGTAGTTAGACCGCCTTAGTTGACCTTTAACGCTTGTATGCGTGCGTGTACCTGTGATATATTATGTTGAATTGCATTTCTTCATAGTTAGTGGAAATGGCACTGAAAATTTAGATCTTGAATTCTCTTTGCATGCAATATTGAATATTTCCATTGATATTTTCTTTCTTGTTGCTTATTGTGGAGGTTGTTTATGCGCTTGGAGCTAGACAAGGAAAGATCGTAAGCGAAATCTTGATTCATAGGAATTCTTTTGGCCATTTTTTTGGCGTGACATATCAAACGAGGCGCCTGCGTGAATATCGCTCTGTGTCGACGTGTCCGCCGTCAATTGCATTCTCTCCCTCCTCTAGTGTCGAGGTCTCTTTTATATCCACAGATTCCCATGCCTGTCGCACGTCTCTTGTTTTGCTTCCTGCCATCGTATTTCATGACGTTTCTTGAAAGGAAAAATTTCCGAATATCTTCTTCTGAGCTCCGCACTACCCTGGTAGAATTAAAATTCCTTTTGAGAAGTGCTGCAATATAAAGCACACTTCCTCCAAGTATCCTTAGAATTGATATTTATTGGCCTTTAAACTAGAAACTTTAAACTAGATGCTAGAAAAATCTAATCAAAGATCGGTACCTATCGTAATTGTGAACATAAAATTGTGAATCCATTTTATATAGCACATCCTTCAAACAAATTACTGATAAAAAAGTTCTCAGTGTTTGTTACGAGATGTACCTATGGCCGGTTGCAGGAACACCTCAACTTAATAATATAACGTTTTGTTTTATGTAGTCTGAGAATTTAATTAGTAGCTAAGAAATTCAATTATAACCAATTGTTCACGCGGTTATTGTGAATTAACTTTCATTTGACTGCATATAATCTCGTTGCGACACGTTAATGCACAGGAAGCGCAGCAAAAAATGTATGTTGTCTACCTAGCTCTTGGTTTAACAGTTCGTAGTGCTGAAAGCTATGAAGCGGATGTGCGCTTGTTGATGTGTGTTACGCGCAATAACTTTCCCGCTAACAGGGCTGGCAGGCGGACTGTGCATGGCAGGGAGGGATACCATTAGCTGGGCCAGAAAAACGACCTTGCAATGCGTGATGAGCTGCATCCGTGCCAGTGCCTTGTGCACTGCACTGGCAGTTGCCTACTGGCACTTGTGGGTGCTGCGCGTCGTCGCGATCTATCGATGTTTGTCCGTAGTGGGTAACCCACTAGAATGCTCATGTGCAACTTTTCTTTACGACCTTCATTATAGGAGTTATTTGTGAGAATCTTACGTCGCCTTTTGTAGAAAATATTGAAGTCTCTCGCACTGAACTTCTGTGATTTACCGTTCATGTTACTTTTTATTAACGAGCGAACGAATACACGACTGAAATTTCAGGCATTGCACCTGGATTTATTATTCATAATTAAACGACGTGGCTTTGATTCAATCGGGTTTCGAATAATAGCATTTAAGCCCATAATGCTTTTTAAATCAGCGTTATGGTTGACACACATTCTGGATTATTCTCAGCTGTAAGCGATAGCACAATGTCACCCATCGCCCGGCCACATCGGTCGTACGAACGCCCTCCGCCTGTAGGGGACGTGTATGTGCGCAAAGAGAGACAGGAACTCCGCAGGAAGCGAACCATCAAAGAACAACGGCGACGACCGCTGCCTCGTTGGAGCTATGATTCTCTGGAGGGAACGTGTGTTTCTGAATGGCTCATGTGGACATCAGATTTGATGTGGGGTGTTTGGTCCTGGGCCGTCCAGATGGCAGGAGGGGTCGTAAACGAATTGGTTCGTATTGTTGTGCCACCTGGGACTGACGCGCGACAGTCATCTGCTCGACACGTAACCTCGCGTCAATATGACGCATTTCATAGAAATCTCTTGGATGAACGCCTGATGAACCGCGTTAGTTCGCCGCCGGATGTTATCATAAATGTTGAAAGAAACCACAGTGCAACTTTTGACCGTAGATCTTCACTGCCTGCTACATGCAAACGTGGTTTCATCAAGGCTGCTCCTCGAACCGAGGTGTCAATGTCCTCAGGTCAACCAAGTGCCTCTGTGAGCAAAACGACTGCCCTAGCCGCAAGTACAACAACAACAGGCGCCAATAAGGACTCAGTTGTGCGCAGCATAGCTGACTCGAAGGATGCGTTCTGCAATGGCTCTCATTATCATCTTAACCCTAAAGCCTCCTATTCCGGTTTAAGTTATAAGACTAATGGAAATATTATCGATAGTTTACCCAGTGCTGTTCACGAGCAATCTGTTGATCTATCTGTGACTGGTTTAGAATTGGAAGAGCATTTTCCTTACATAGATGAGGGACCTGCACTCAGCAAGGATGAGTCATTGCGCCAAAACGCTGATCACGTGCTCGCTGCAATGCGGGGTTTTACTTCAGTTCAGTGTGAAATGTTAAGGGCAATACGAGAAGCGAAGAGAGCGACCAGTAGCTTGACCACGCCTAAAGCTCCACGTGACCGCTGTCTCAGCGTATCTTCAGTCACCAGTGGGGACAGCCTTCCTTCTATGTCGTCTCTAGACAAATTTTTGGCTTCTTCTAGTTGTACCTCGACTGTAGGTTCCTTGCCCAGCTCTCGAGTGAGTTCTCGCAATCCAAGTCCTTCTGTATCAAGCATTACAGCGAATAATATCAGTGATACGGACGACTCGTCTGTGTGTCGAGAGTCAACACCCGTCCTCGATGAACAAGTCGAACCAAACATTGAAATTTTAAGCCACTTTGACGTCGCTGATATCGAGCAACCGTCAGTCATTCAGTGGAGTGGTTTCGTGTCGGATTCTGGGGTGGTTCATATGAGAGAGAAGAAAACTCCTACAAATGCTCAGAGACCATGGTCTTTTGACGTTAGCTTTTTAAGCGAGTCGAGCACGCATGCGAAAAAAATGTATATTTACGAACCTCGGAAACTATCTAATAGAGAGACTCTGATTAGTCTGCCGAAGCCGTCTTCAAATCACACCCGTGTACGACCAACTACTTTGCAACTTGAAGTTGATTATGAAACCGATATTAAATCAAGTTCTACAAACGACAGAAGTGATGAGAACGACTTGACACTCAATTCCCAGGAGGATGAGATTCTTTCAATGTTCAGTACCATAACCGATAATTTGACACGGCCAAAACAAATAATATACGACGAAACTCTGCCAGATTTCAAAGAAAGGGTAAACGGGACAAACCTTGCTGAAGATCGAATCCGTAAGTGCGATGAAACCTCTTTAAGTATTGAATCTGCTCCAGTTACACCCCTGGATATCCCGATATTTTTAAGTAGCTGTGAAACGCGCTTGAACGATTGTTCGTGCGACAACGCGAGCTGTGAGATAGAGTCCCTGGCGACAAGTTGTGAGTACGAATCAATGGAAGAAAGTTTTTCTTCATCAAGTATACGTTTGTTGACGGTGAAGCCTGTAAGGGAGAGCAGCAGTTCGGTTGACGGTCGTACCTGGCACGACCTGTCTGACGACGAGGAGAGCACAGCTGTTCCGTGTGTCACTCCTCCGTCGTCACTGCCCTCGCCTGCAGCCGATGTCCTTCCTAAGATTGACATTACTGCTCTCAAAGGAGAGATTATGGCCCTCAAGCGGGAGATAATTGCCAGAAAAGGTGGAGGTGCTCCTATTTTGCAGTCTCCCCAAGAAAATCAGACTCAATTCCCCATCAATTCGTTCGTTTCGTCCGTAGAAGATATCGGCAGCTTGAGGAGTGAAATAAGTGCCCTCAAGCAGGATTTCTTGTCATTGCTTGATGACAATGCTAAATGCAGTTTAAAAGCAGCTTGTAAAAAATCAAAGTACAAATATTCGGGAAAGGCTATAAGTATCGATAGTGTCGATGACATAATTAAACCTAAGTCAACAGTCCTCGATAGAATTTGTTCTCTCGACCAAAAAAGTGTTTCGGACGATGAAGATGGCTTCTTTTTCTCTTGCAAGCAATCCAAGTGGAACTTTGAGGAAAAAATTGACAGTAATAACAAGCAGTCTCCCGTTTGGTATCGATCTCCGAACTTGAAAAGGTGTCAAGGTTTCGTTTCTCAATGCGAGTTCGACGCACGACAGTTATCGCCGGGGACGGTTTCAGACGTGGCATTACCAACGGTCCAGCCTTCGGCCGCGTCTTCGTTTTCACTACGCCAGCAAGTGCCATATTCTGCACTCATGGCACCTACCATCCCTTCTCACGAACGCTTCTGTCCTGCTGCACTGCGACGCCTCACTGAAATGATGCGAACACCTGATAACGATGAACAAAATTCACCCATCGACAGCGATAGTTCACAAGACGACGACCATCCTTATTCTAGTGACGATGGTTTTGCTAGTGATGGCGACAGCGATTGTGAAGACGTTGAACTACCGTGTAGCGTTGAAAGAGTTCTATATGGTTTGGAAGCTTCGCCTTTCAAGATACTGGATAATAGGTTGGTTCTAGACGTTACCGAACAACCCCCTCTTAAAATTAGTCAAAATCCTCGCGGTAGAAAGAAAAGAAGATGTTCCAAACTAAATGCTAGCTGTTTCGCCCTGCACTAATCTGTCGGTTGGAATTATCGTAGCGCAAAACTATTCAATTGTATCTGGTATTAATGTTTGTTCTTTAATATGCTTTATCAACGCTTACCAAAATTTTGTCGCACGATTAAGATCTGACGAGATATCCCCACCATAAAGGCTCGAGTAGAGGTAATTAGTTGCTAATGAGCTTGTTAAAACTTGTATCTTGTTGCATGTGATGAGCACTCTCTGGGGTCAGACGCTTGCATTTTTTCCCCCAAAAGCATTACAACTGAGATTGTCTATGATTTTAATCACTAAGTTAGCCGAGAAACTTGGCAGTAAAACCTTCGTGCTTCAAACTGTGTATTGCATCTCGCGCAGCTAGCTAACCAATCTTTGATGAACAGATGTTGTAGCTGACGTTTTGCATCGTGATGCATTAGATATTGTATGTGCTGAAAATCTGTCACATTTAACGAACGCTTCTCAATTTTTGTCAATTTGACTTTAAAAATTTCTTACCTCTTGAAATTTGCTCAAAAACTGCTTTTAAGTCATTAGTTACTTGATTAAAGTCAAAATATGACATTGCCATGATTTATTGCTGATCTCGGTCGACTCTTAGAAATTTTAATCTGATACTCGTTATTAAAGTTTTAAATTATTTACCCAAATGTGTAGGTTCTTGAGCAACGTTTTCAGTTTTCACTCTTTATAGGTACTTGTTAAGTACTACTTTCTAATTTTTTCAACAACGTGCCGCTAACTCGTGCGTCATCCGATGGGTAAAAAGTGCTTACGTTTCAGCCGTTCGTGATTCCCATTGTAATTAGCGAGGTTTTGCTGAGGCCGTCGTATTGTAATTATTATGGTTAGGAATTGCGATAGGATTCGTTAGATTTGTCATTTTAATTTTCAATCATCCCCGATATAACTTCGCCCATGAATGTTTTTTTTTACAATACTTCTCTTTAACTTCACTTCTTGTTGTTTGTTTGTCTGCCACAAATCTTATGATCAAAATTTAACACTCTTCTACTTATCCTATCGATCTGAAATTTTGCGCATTTGCGTAAAGTTGGAGACAATGCATGAATCAATAAACAAAATGTAAAATTTTAATAAGTAAAAATTTTTTTTCAATATTAAAATAATTTTGTCAGCTACAAATCTTATAATTGATATTTGACACACTTATACCTGTCCAATTGATCTGAAATTTTACATACTTGTGTGAAGTTGGAGGCAATGCATGAATCAATTGACAGAATAAATAATTTCGAAAGAAAAAATTATATATTAAACAAATTTTAAAAATTAATATTTAATATTCGAAAATAAAATTAGAAATTTATTGTACATATGTAACATTTGAGACACTGGATTCTTTAGAAGTGTTGTCTTTAAAATGTAATTTTTAAACGTATATTATTTTATTTGTCATTGTTGCGTGATCCACCACAGAGGTACGTGGTTGCATATGTTCTGGTAATATTTGTGATTATAATGTTCATGTAAATTCAGTCATGCTTAAATAACTGTTCTGAATTTATATGTATAGTATATCTATAAATGTAAAAATAACCCCTACATTTGGGGTCGTCTTTACAGTTCAGAAAGACTCCGTAGAACATGAGCTAAGAGAACGCACGTTTCATTTATACTTATATCTCTCGTATTTATCGGTTATTTATTATTATAGTTTTAATTACTATCTTATTCATCCTTTATTTCCCACTATACCCACGACATTATACTAGTTTGGCCCCTCCGATTTTGTTATCTAGCTGAACAGATGATATCAATTACAATGTGTGCTTCTACGCCTTCCTTTCATTTTCGGTATTATTTTTTTTCGATGCTATCTCTGTCACTTATGCTTAAAATTTGAATAATTAATCCATATCTTTTTCCACGACATTGACTAATTATTCAAATATCGGTGTTGTGTTCATAAAAATAACATCAGAATGAACGACATCTAATGTTTGACTTGTTTGAGAGTCTTAAACCATTACATTTTAAATGCTCCATACAGTTTCTCTTTGAAGTAGCGTTGATTTAAGGTACCTGTACTGGGCCAACGAGTTAGGCGAGTGTTGACACTACGCATGAAATATAGAGCGTCGGGCGCCTGTATAGCAGTTCAGGTACACAGCTAGAGGCCCATGCTGTCCCTGCTGCAGCAGTCTTGGCAGAGCGTGCCTGCTGCTGTCCTATATTTACTCTTTCTCTTCACCGACTCCCGTATTAATAAGGCCTTCATACTGCGCGCGCACCTTCTGCATGTCACTCATCTCACAGTGCGACGCATCGCTATCGAAAATACATATGTTTCTGCATTACGGGGGTTTTCGCATGTTGCGAGTCCCTAAAATAATTATCATGCCCTGACAATTTTAAGAAAATTAGATGAAATGATCAACCAAGATGGGGCTTGTCTCATGGCCGGTATAGTTTTCCGTATATTTTTGTCGTTAAATTCTTGATCAAATTCTACCTGTACGCATCATTGCGCAAATTTCTCTAATTTAAACTATTCGCTATAAGATTTGTTCCTTGGCCTCTCGTATCCATGCCACGGCTGTATATAGCGCACGCTGTGGCATTGTTCTAACTAATCATACTCCTCGAATAACTCCAGATTTTTAGTTGCTCTTTCTGAGTGCCGATTAAATCTCGTTGAAACATTTTACTTCGATCCAACTAAAGCTTTGCTCGTTTCCACTATTGTGTTTCAATGCTCCCGAATTTTCAAGAATTAATTGAAGGCATTCTAGGATTTCGTTTGTGCAATGATACTTATCGACAATCCGTGAGAGTGAAAGTCATTTTCTGCTGATGAATCCAGTATTTGCTCAACGCAGTTGCACCTACAACGCAGTTACTACATTGCACGAACAAGAAATGTGAATACTCGACTACCAGAAAAAAAAATAGCTTATAAATCATAGTGTACGACGCATTTCTCTTATTCCGATTCGACCAAGGCCATGTGTCACTTTAAGGCGAGCATCTATACCGTCATGCAAGTGATAAGCAAAAGCATCCACAGCCTCTTCATCAGAGAGCCATTGCAAGCGCCTTCTTATGCAGGTGCACTCGCTTTGATGTCGTCTGCCCTGCTGCCTCTTGGGTCTTTTTGGAGCTCTGTTGACATTTTTAGGCCCAATGCGGAAACATGTTATTGCGAGCGTTATCGTTTCTTTCGCAGTTGACTTTTCTGTCCTATACGTATTTTTTATCTGATTTAAGATAAATGCTAGTATACGTTCCCAAGATCTACTCGTATAAACATAGAAAGTATAAACCCCAGTAACAGGACAAATATCTCGTTGAAGTCGAATGGTGATGCAAGTAATTTGACGATAAGCCTCCCAGCTACAATCATCTCGTCCTGTATGGTTGCGCTGAGTGTGGATCTATTCCTGGACGAGAGCGGCCGTGCAGTTCAAAATACCGCCCAACCAAAGCGCGCTCATTGTTAACACCTTTGCGGAAATGAGCTCATTTAGAGGCGTGGCCGTATCAACACGATGCTGGGGCTATAACGCGCCTTACGCCGGTGCTAAACGCCTGCCTCAACTCGCCCCTTATCGTCCCTCTGCTTTTTTACCAAGCCTTCTGCATTGGCTAGTCAGGCACGATTTTCATCAGGATTTCTTACTTAGATAACTTGCGTGTAAATTTATTGCTTTCTTGAAGATAGTATGACTGTTTTAATGTGACTTCTCTTAGATAGACGTCTCGTACATGGTCTGAATGACATCTCTTACATGGATTGAATGAATTTTGTTGGCAGTAGGCACGTATTGCTATAACCATTACAAGCTCTTCGTAAAATACTGTAACTTAGTTTTTGATATGATGTTCAAAGATGCAGCAAGCTTGAAGCTCTAGAGATGACTGGAATTTGACCTGTATTTGGCTGGTTTATTACACTTGTGTTATTCGATTATTTTTTTTTAACATACCGACACTATCGGTGTCTTAGATGCTCGTTTCAAGACCCGCATGTCTTTGCAGTATCGGCCTTGAAACAAACGTACAAGCTTTCATGATGGCAAAATAGATCCACATTTACAGTGATGGTCTTTTAAGTGGCGATTCAGTCGATGACCACGTGAGAGACAGACCTTTAGTCCCTATCTAGAATATTTCCCTCTCTGCAGTTCCTTTAAGTACTTATTATCATATAAATTATCTTTACAAATCACCCTTTTGTTTGTTTCTGCAGGACGGATATTCGCGACCGTGATGTTGAGGAAGAAGAGGAGGAGGAGGAGATCCTCGGCTCCGACGATGAGGAGCAGGAGGATTCTAAGGACTACTGCAAAGGTGAGATCAATGTCCTCATACAAAGGCTGCTGGCCAGACCTACGATGTTTTTGAAAGGTTATTAAAATTTTTGGTTTTAAATGTGGTGGTGTGCAATTCTACGGAATTAATCCTCTATGAAACCTGTTAGGTTTTTGTTATAAGAATTCCTCTTCACTCTCAGTGCCTTAAATTTGTACTTGAATTCGGTAACGTATTTGGCTCGATGCGGTCAACAAGCGTTTTTTGCTAAAGGCTCATGAGGAATTGGTCTCGTCAAATTGAATATATGAGGGTCAAAAATAAAACACGGGTAATAATAAACTGTGGAAAATCAAGGGGACAAAATCACTGTTTCAGAAATGAGGGATATAAATGAACGCGGAACTCAATATTTATCTCTAAGGAAACATCACTTTTAATTCTTGATTGGAGAATTGAATAAACCTCTTCGAAATTAAATATTTCTAACCGCTGTTCGACTTTACTACTTTACTAGGGTTACTTTACGTAACCCTATCCCGTATTGTTGTAAGGTTGTTATGCCGCGACCGTATCGATCACAAATGTCCTCTGCTGTAATTACGATCGTTTGTTCCAAGTAGCCGTACCGCAGCCGTATGCCGTAGGTTCACCTCTTCGAAAAATGTGTCAAGTTCTACATGGCTGTAGAATTGTTATCGGCCGTACTGCGGAATAACTGTGAAGGCTTCCACTTTAGTGACGTCGCTGCCAGATCATGGCCGTATATATTGTTCCAGTTGTACCAGACCGTACTCTCGACGTTACTTTGATATCGGTCTTTCAAATCGCTGCATGCTTGACCGCTTCTCTTGTTGTCCCGACGCGGCCGTTACGTTCTGTGACATGCTCACGCATGTCACGAGCCTCAGAGCTTGGCTAAGTGTCATCTTGCTAAGGTCATTTGATGGTGAGGTTCCTAGCATCTTACTGCTCTTGCGCCTCAGCCTGCCTGCCAACTTCTCTCCTTTACTCTGACTTGCACCTAAATTTGGGGTCCCGGTTACACTCTCACTGCTACGTCACTGATGCCTACTGGTAAATTTTCTGCCTTCCTTTACTCGATGCTAGTTGTGTATTATCAATTCTAAAACTTGTTTCCATTCCACTGCACCTCTGTGCACTTTTTAAACTATGCAGTTAAATTCTTGGGCCTATTAATGTCTACAGTTCCCTTTAAAATCATTATTCCATTCCTCTAATATGAGCAGTTGTACTTGCATTTATATCCACTAACCACTTGGGAGCTGTGCGTATTATGAATCACTTGCTCTCTATTACCCCGTCAGCTCATTGCTTTCAGTGATGCGATATGTTTATAGTCGATATGTTTATGTTGATTGCAACACGCGGGGCTTCATTGCTACTGAGTCACGGTCTATTTTGTAAAGCATGCTTTGTTTGCCTTGTTTCGACATGCTTCTCATGGGCTCAACTAGTCTGCTGAATACTAGCAGGCTTCTCTTGAATAAAGAGTGGTGTTGTATGGTTTCCTTTAGTCTTCAGTTGACCTGCTCAATTCTTGTGCCGGATCGATCCGTTCCTTTGTACGATACGTTTGTGTGAACTCCCAGTTGCTCTCTGGCAAAGGTGGCAAAAGTTCATGCTGACTTGGCGATGTCGTGCTGTTTTGGAATTGTGAAGTTCTTTGGTTCTTTGTTATTTTTCCATGTGATTTTTTTATTACTGTTTCATTCAAAACCTGTTTTGCGATCGGATTATCATCTACGTATTTTTAATCTATGTAGATAATTTAAGCAAACTTTTTTTGTTGTTCTTAGTGTATCTTTTCCAAAACGTTGTTTTTACAAATGCTTGTAGTCCGTTCTCATTCTTCTTCGAATACCTTTGCAATTTAATTTCAACGTAAAACCTACGCAAAATTTTTTACCCCAGTTTCAGTATGTTAAAAAATAACTCCTGAGTGAAGTGACTTTTGATCTGTGTTATCCAGTTTCAGTGATGTGTTTTTCAAGCTCGTGATAGCTGGCAACGAGTTTTCTTCCCCGGGATTTCCATAACATTTTACACACGAAACATTGTCCCTGTAAATCGTCACAGAGTAGTTGGTCTTCATGGGTTCCTGGTTTTTGTCTATTCGATCGTTTCAATTGTCGTGCCCTAGGAGTTTTATTATTCCTAATACGGTATCAGTTTATTTTATAACAAATATCTGCTGGAAATTTAAGATCAGTGGATGGTCAAATCGGGCTGAAATTTCAGAGTTGGATAATTTCATAAATCAATTTGTCACTCATGAAATAATCGATATCGATGGACAAATAACAGCCCATCCCATCATTCTTATGATAACATCTTACGAATGCTCGCAACTGCGAAAAAAATTAATGATATCGTGTCTGCGTTCGTTGAGGCCGCGCCGGTCGCTCCCCCATACCCACATATTTTTTAATGGAAGTTTGCCGAATTTATGAGTATAACTTTGCTTTCTGATGGCCACATGTTTGCAAATTCGTCTCTTGAGTAACGTGTCTTATGCTTTATAAAATTTGAAAATAATTACACCTCTTTATAATAATTTGAATCTCGCCAAGTCATCTTTGTGTGTGCAAAATGCCACAGAAATCTGACGTGGCGAATAATTCTATGATAATCCTGTCCTGCAACACGTTCCAAACTGGTTATGGGATAGCACTTGTTTATGGAACTGAATACTGATACTAGAAAGGAATCTGGGGGACTCGTCTATAATGCTGTGCTTGTTCGTTCATATATGAAACTTAATTAAATTTGCTGCTAGAATTTACTTTCGACATCTCCTCATTCGACACTTCGCGAATAGAAGAATTGCAAACAATGAGCTGTTCGCCGACAAGGAAACCTCTCGATTACACGTGCCATCTTACCAACTGTTCACATAAGAGTTACACTAATTTGTCAGTTTTATATGGTGCAAAAGTACGCTCAATTGGTTCTTCAACTCGTTTTCGTACTAATTACGACTTTAGTCCAAAACTGCCAACCACTGCCAAGTCGTCAACTTCAACCAATGTTGATTTAAACCAAGAATCATCGAGCATATCTGAAGTCAACATATGTTTTGTTTCTGATGAACGTCTGAAGAACAACGTTAGCGCCGGTCTTGACTTGCTGCATTTTTCGTCGGCTTCCTTGAGCAATCAAAACGTCAGCGCACGGCTTCCTGATAACGTGAATCCCGCCCAGTCTCTCAATGACGACTTCTGTTGTAATCAAACTTCCAAGCCGTCATCATGAAATTAAACCATCAATTAAGAAAATCCACATTAGTGATTCAAGGACCAAAACTGCTTTTTGCGCTGCTTTACGCCACTCAGCATTCATGCGCGTGTCGGCCCAACCAGCAATTGCCCAATGCAGGGAATTAGACAACTCTGTGTGCCGATCTCGAGCGTCTCGTCGCTTGGGCTTGAAAGCTCGCTTCCAACGTCTTATCTCGACCTTCAGCTCCTGTAAAATTGGCGGTCCGACTACCGAAGGTGCTTCTCGCTTGAAAGTTTACTGGCTTGCTTAGAAGTACCCTTGAGAATCCTTTCGAGATTTTGTCCAAATCGATCGATGTGTATTTACTAGTGAATTTGATCGCTATTTCTGGCGTCTTCTGTCATACTCGAGTCTCGACATGTTTACTGTTACATTGCTAAAAAAAACTCTAGCTGGTTTTAATATTTGAGAGATATTAAGATATTAGCATGCCTTGTAGTATGGGTCTAACGTAAATAATACTTTGCTCAGGCCAGATTTCCATATTTCCTACAACGAAATACCTGCTAGAAAATTATTTTCGTTTTCAGGTGGCTACCACCCGGTGATGATAGGCGACCTGTTCTACAACAGATACCACGTCATCAGGAAGCTGGGCTGGGGACACTTCTCCACAGTTTGGCTCTGCTGGGATATGCAGTTAGTTCTTGTATTGCTCTCGAGCTCAAGTTTCCAAATACCTCGTTATTTATGGATAAATTTTATTCATTATTTTTACTTATGAAGTTGCCTTCTGGTAATTTATTTCGTATCTCCTCTAATATTAAATTTGATAGCTTGAATTGTGGCATCATTCAGTCTAAAACTTACTCAACAGGTTTTATATGCGTGCGAGTTTTTATCATACGAATATTTGCATTTTTTTTTTGTATTACGTGACGAGCATTGATGGTGAAGTTAATGCTAGTCAATTTGTATACTGTCTGGTTACAACATTATGTGGTTTGTCAAACTTATCCTCTAAAAAATTTCCTATGCTTTAGTTTCCTAATTATTTTTTCAAGGGCCAAAAGATTCGTAGCTTTGAAGGTTGTGAAGAGCGCCTCGCACTACACCGAGACTGCACTCGACGAAATAAAACTTCTAAAATGCGTGAGTCAACTAAGCTACCATGCGCGTGTTAACTTTCGTATATCCGAGCTTCTTTGAGAAAAAGCATCACACAAACTTTCTCTATTTACTTGTTTTCTTCCATTTGAATAATATTTGATCTGTGGTATTTATCTATATTCTATAACTATTATTTATATTTACTGTACAACTATTTGAATAATCTCATTTACATTGGTCCCAGTTTCAAAGTAATTGAACATTTACTCTTCTGTATATATTCAGTTGTGTCATTTAGTTACGTATTTTGACAGGTGCGCGAAGCAGACGACCACGATCCTAAGCGCGACAAGACCGTGCAGCTTTTGGATGATTTTAAAATCACGGGCGTGAACGGCACGCACGTGTGTATGGTCTTCGAGGTGCTCGGCCATAACCTCCTTAAATTCATCATCCGCTCAAACTATCAGGGCATCCCCCTCGCCAACGTTAAGAACATCACAAGACAGGTAAACATGTACGCTAGACTGCGCGGGCTAACCGTGATATTCATTCAGAAACTAAATTCATACATGCATCTTAAAGCGCTCGGGTTTAGCGTGAAAGTGGAACATAAATGAAATTCAAATATGCACCTTAGAGCACGCAGGTTAACTGAAAGCATTTGTGAAATATTTCTTATTTTGTGAAACACATTAAAGTCCCGGGACTTGTATTAATTTGGGATATAGGATTTCAAGGTAATGGTTGAAAACTTTCTGTCGAATTATTTTTTTTTTTTTACTGACCCAAACATACCCGATCATGCATATTATCGAGATCTAAATTGCCCCCCCAAAGATTCGATTTACTTACTTACTTGTAGAATTTGGCTTACCTACGAGATTTTTTTGTGATCTTAGTGTATAATTATCCTATAGTTCCTTCATTATGTTACTAATACGTTACAGGTGCTAGAAGCGCTGGACTACCTCCACACAAAGTGTCAGATCATCCACACTGACATCAAGCCAGAGAACATTTTAATGTGCGTCGACGACACCTACATCAGGAGGCTGGCCTTTGAAGCCACCCAGTGGCAGAAGATGGGCCTCAAACTGCCTGGCTCGCTAGGTGCGTTCTAATGTCCTTATTGTGTTAAGTTAGAGCTCCCATTTTTTTATTCATTTTCAAACAGGTACAGACGTGATAGCATCGTCCGATGTAAATATTTTTATAATTGCCTACAAGTAATTCGTGTAAGAGCATTAATTATTACTGAATAATGAAAATTTAGCATTAATACTGAGAATTGCATTTGTGAAAAGTCAATTTCTACAGTAGAATAATTTGTAGCAGTTCTTTAAACTTCATCATTTACTACTTGCATTAACTGAAGAAAAATATTTAAACGTATTTAGTGTTCAAAAATAATCATATAATAGCTATTACAAATTTTTTAATGCGAATATTTATCAGTCCTCTGAAAATTTCGAACTTTCAATCAATCTTTTTTTCCTAATCCTATTTTGTGCAATCGAGTTACACGTGTCATTAGAAGTTCATTGCCTATTTGCTTGAATGGATTTCTAATAATCGATCATTTTCTAGAGGCGGAAAGTCAGTGTCTATAACGCTTATTCATACTACAAATTTTGATTACATTTGCAGTGAGTACCGCTCCAAAGCATTTTAATCAACCGGATCCCAATGCCAAAATATCTAAAACTAAACGGAAGAAAATCAAAAAGAAAGCAAAAGTGAAGCAAGCGCTGTTAGAGAAGCAAATCAAAGACCTGGAGGAACTTGAGGAACGTGAAACTAGGATGGCTTTGGCTGCCTGTACGCTGACTGATGGGCCTTCTCTGCCTGACCAAGGTAAGTTCAAAGCGTTAATAATGTTAGTTATTTATCTATTTTCATGATAATTTTTTTTATATAAATTAATAATGAATTCGTGGCTGGATTAACCTTTTTTCCCAACCAACGCTGATAGAAGTTACAGCGAGTTTTGCTGGCGCGATTTTTGGGCGGGTGCTTCTATTACAATTGGATGAATTACCGCGTTAGGATGTATTTTTTAGTGGAAATTTATTGGTATCGATGTAATTGCTGCATAGTTACATATCTGTATTTGTCCTCTCGCATTTTACTGGAACAAATATTAATAATATCCTTCTTCCAGAGTCTCCCCTGGCCAGCACCACTAACGGCGACTGCTTTCCTCCGATTTGTGACGCCAGTGACGCTGGTCAGAAAACAATTATGAACAGCAACGAGGAGAGTAATGGCGCCAAACACGCTGAGGGAGAGCGACCTCACAAGGCCAGCGTCAAGATCATCATGAACGATGAAGATCCCGTCAGAAATGATGGCTCTGATGAGCATGACGACGAGAGTTCTGACCATCCCATGCTACGCTCCAATCTCTACAAGGGCGCTAACAACGCGAGCTTTGACGAAGCTGCTCAGCAGAAACTCGGTTAGGTCATTTACCATCGCGTTGAATTATCCTTATAACATTTATGACCAAACTGCTTCCTTTTATATCCAACTTGCACTCACGAAAACTTATCCAAGTTACATTATTCCTTTAAATGAAGATAAAAAACTTCAAACGATTGGTTTGGTATTATTATTACGACTTTAGTTAATCCACCTTAATCCCCCTTATTGATTCACTGAGTTGTCTTCGTAGTATTTTTAACGGTTTTGAATTGATATAAACTTATGCCGTGTGATTTTCCCTGAACCTTCTCCGTAGTATTTATCATATTTTCTGCCCCATTTTTGGATTGACTCTTGACATAGCGAGAAAAGCTTTACTAACTTATTGCCGTGTTGCGTATGGTGCGTAGAGCACCGCAAGAGTCTGGCTGAGATGTGCGAAGCTGACGTCACTCCCGGCGGTGCCGTTGGCCTCAACCTCGACCCTATGATGAACGGCCACAATCCTGGCACTGCACGTCCGCACCTCGGACGCTCCGAGTCTGAAATCACTCCTGATCTCAGGATAGCTCATGATCAGCATGGTGAACACTCGCTCGTATATATCTGGTCCTCATTGATGGAAGGAAAATTGTAACCGTTGAAATAACTTTTAAATTAATCACAGATCTACACATTCTAGTTTAGAATACAATTTCTAATGAACTTGATTGCCATCTAGATGGTAGGCAACTAAAGTATAATAGTTGTTTTCTTGCACAACTCGTTGCTTGCTCGACCTGCCCATTGAATGGTTTGATATTTCCCAACAATATAATTTACAGCACTTATCAGTTTTTAAGTATAATGATCCCATAGCTTCCCGCTGGTCATTATTTAACACGATCTGATGCTTACTGCAGTTGAGGGTGCGACTAGTGATGCAACCGAAGGGCTGTCTGGCGCAGAGGGCGGCAAGGGAGGCTGTAGCGACGGTCTTGGCAACAGCTCGGCCGGCATGCGTCGAGTAGCTTCGTGTCCCGACCATAAGGCTCTAGAAACTATGCCTGATCCCGTCACTGAAGTGTGCGATTTGCAGGTAACTATTCTAATTTATTTCTTCATATCTATACAGATTCCTTTCATATTGTTTATATGCTCCTGACAGCCTATGTATGAATGAGCTGTCGCTTTTGGTATCGTTATTATTCTTGTTCGTATGTTCCAAATTACTGGAAAATTTATTCACGGACGGTATAAACTCAATTGATTCTAACCCTCACTTCGTGCAGGTTAAAATTGCAGATCTCGGCAACGCTTGCTGGGTAGACCATCATTTTACCGAAGATATCCAGACAAGGCAGTATAGGTGCCTAGAAGTTCTTTTAGGTGCAGGCTACGGCACTCCTGCTGACATTTGGAGTACTGCATCTATGGTTAGAATCCAGCTGTAGATCTTTCTTGCATGCCAATGTCCCATTTTAATTGCACTTTAAATGCTCCAATATAATAATAACCTTTACTGTTAGATACTTTTGGGTATGTATAGGGAGTTGATAATAATTGTTATGAAGTTACACACTTGGGTTTGATTAAATGGTGAGGTACTTCACAGCTTATTTAACAGAGACAGATGGTATTTTGTAACTATAGAACGCTCACTTCTCCCAACCGGGGAATCACTCTAAAATTTCATGTCAAACTTAACGACCTCACTAAGATAATCGTACTCTTGCGAGCGTTCTCTTTAAACGACGACAAACAGCGTTACGCCTCTATGCCATGCTACCCATCGTCTTAGGAACAATAGTACTAGAGAACTGCGTCAAATATCTTTAAATGCGCAAATCAGAAGTGAAGAGTATCATAAATTCTCGTGAATTAAGGTATTTTACTCAGACTAGTTTATAAACAGAATATTGAAGCTTACCAATGAAGGAGGATAGTCGTGAATGGTGTGCTTACTTCACGGTCATTCATACAGACCATACTTGATGACTTAAGGGGTTGTATATTTTTTACATTATAAAACCACATCCCTGCAAATTTCAATGAAAATGTAAATGCGTTGCTTTGTTCGAATTATATGCTGTGATTTATAGATCCTTTGCTGATAAAATATGAATTTTTCATGCTATGTCAGTAATTGTCGCAATGGCCTTTCAGTCGTTCGAGTTGGCGACTGGTGACTATTTGTTCGAGCCGCACTCTGGTGCAGAGTACAGCCGAGACGAAGATCACCTGGCGCATATCATCGAACTACTTGGAGAAATTCCTCGATCCATTGCACTGTCTGGCAAATACTCCAGAGAATTCTTCGATAAGAAAGGTACTTTAACCTATCTTTTTTAAGACGTTATTTAACCATTGGTATAATTCATTGAATTCTTTTCATAGTAATATATGAGCATAAATAAAGAATGCAGTTTTATAATATTTTGTCCGCATTTTATTATTATTGGCAATTGCCATCTCATTATTTAAATAATTTTAGATGTGCCACTCGAATTGCTTATGCAAAATCTCTTGTTTCGATTTATAATTATTATTGTCGAATCACCCATGATGATGCGGGCGAAAGAAGAATTTTGATATTATTTGGAACAGATTATTAGATCACCCAATAGTGTGCTTTAATGTAAAGAAATTATTTTATTTCTACTCACCAATTTATTCTCTAAGTGTAGAAAGTTTCAAATTAAACTCGTGTGCTGTCGTTTTTAATGATATTTTACTTAGATATTTATGCGATGCGATTCACTGTTTTAAATTTTTTCCAGGTGAACTACGACACATTAGCAAACTGAGACCTTGGGGACTCTATGAAGTGCTCACTGAAAAATACGAGTGGCCTGATGAAGAAGCACGCGCCTTTGCCGATTTTCTACTTCCTATGCTCGAATTTGACCCTAGCAAAAGAGCGACTGCCGCTGAGTGTCTCAAGCATCCTTGGCTCAACTCTTGAAAATCTCAAATTAGTGTTCTTGGCTGGTTGGCCGCAATTCATGATGAGGCAGGGGCGAGAGATTGCTGTGTTCGTGAGTCGTACGTCACTATAGATCGCAGAACAGCAAAATATACTTTGCGGCATTTCGGTTAGGTTTTCTCAGTATGCATGTTCATCTTAATCCATGATTATGGAATTGAAACAATGCTACGGTAATGATAAGAAAAAGTGAGCTCGGAGGAAAAACTGAATTCGATAGGTCTCGAGGCTATTGCATTGTCCTCGTTCGTATTCCATGATTGTTTTTCGTTGCAGTTGCTAGGAGCAAATGTACGTTTTTCTGGTATCACCGATCAACCGCCTTATTGTATAACATTTAGCCTTTTGGCTTGTGTTTCCCAATATTATTCATGATGGGGTATATGCCTGCCGCTTGTTTGGAGCGTGACTCACTCGCTACCAAAGTGACAACGAAAGTTCTCTTGAGTTGTGCTGTTGTCGAACTCGTGTATTGACTCGCCCCCTGGGTCAGTCATTGCGATCAATGTCAACAGACGACTGTTGGAAAAATTTTATTGATGGAAAAATGAATTGTGATTTCCCTGGGAGATCTAGAATGAAATCAGTTCAATCGAGTGTTCACATGCAAGTTGTGACTATTTATTTCATTGATTGGTGCGCGTTCTGTAGATCCACTTTAGTTTGTACTCGAATGTATTTGTATATCCAATAACTGACCTGCTTTAATGTATATCATATCCCAGTGTGTGACTAGTGGACATCATAAATCGTCTTCTTGACTCAGTCGAAACCACATCACTCGATCCACTCACTTTCTGCTCTACTCACGTGTAACTATGATCATCTTTATTCGTAAGTATTATTATCAGTAATAATTATCATTTAGATTTGTCGCTCCAGTTGACGAAGTTTTTTTTTTCAGCTCTGTATAAGAATCGCCTGCGACTGTACGGCTATTGTATTTTCATATTGAAAGTACGTCAGTTTTTGGTTTAGAGTGGTAAATTTTTGAATGGACATTTTGAACCCTAGGAACCAAGGGACAAACTCGTTATTTTACGTTGGCTTCAATCATGTTTCTATGTAAATCGTTTCGAGAGCTAATAAAGGGAAAGAAATATTCTTAGTCAATTCAGTTCGACTTCAATTAAATCCGAGCTTCAAGTACCTCAATGAAATCCTCGAAATCATGATTTGGAGCAATTTCGATTATATGGAGAAGTGACATTAGGAAATTCCTAGGTTGCGATCGTCGTTCCGTTTCAATGCTCAAGATTCGAATTTCGGTGAATCTTTCTGGTTACCTCCTGAAGATGCACGGTTCAAGTTATCGTAACGTTGCGAATAGATGCTTGATTTAAATTGGTGGCTAAATTTATCATAAGTAGATTTTCTAATCTGCGTATATGATATAAGTTGATTTACTCGATTTATTATTTTGAGGTAGGAACTTTCGATTATGAATTTATCCAGATTTTATTGAGCAAACATGTTGATGGTCAGACATGGTATTAATAGGTAGATCTAAGATGTCGAGGACCTTCCTAAGATTTAATACCTCCATGTGTGGGGATCAGTTCACGCATTATTGAAGTGCCAGTCGATCCAATGGATACGCGCTGTGTCCCTCTGTGTTAGCCTGCTGTACTTAGAAACTTTTGTTGTCACCTCCCTTGAACGCTTCAGGGTAGATACCTATAGTTGCTACTCTCCCTGCCTTAGCGGTTTTCCTTCTTAATAACTGAACGTTCTCGACATGTTGGATTACAGCCGAGCTGGAGTTCAGTGCTCGGTACACTTTCTTATGAATACAGTTGCACGTTTTTGCAATGCCAGTGTAACTTAATCATTTAAAAATGTATATCGGTTTTTGAGCCATGATGTCGGAACAGGTGGGTTGCTGTCCCTATTTTTATTTAGCGGAGTGCCTAAGCATTTTTAAAACAGATTGAAAGCTAACCTCCATTCATTTTATGCAAATAAATTCTGATAATTTATTTGATAAAAAATAATTAATTCTGATTAATTAATTAATTAATTCTATTATTATTAATTAATTATTAATTAATTAATTCTAATAAATTCTGATAATTTATTTGCCGCTTATGAGCATGTATACTTGAAGGATTGTAATATTTCTCGAATAAAATGTTTAATATCATATTGACAAGAGGAATCCATGGAAATTTATCTTCTGGTACAAGGCGCACGATGTTTTCCGTAGTTATTTCGATTGAAATGATCAACATGTATTAAGTTTACCTTATGGGTGGAAAATAAAGTTGTTTTTATCCTAAAGATTTATTCCTGTTCATATTGAATAAACTTAGTCACAGTTCGCAGAATATTTGGTTGTGGCGTTGCTGATTGAAATTAAGAATCGCATGCAGTGCAAAGCGCATGTTCTCTGCAGTTCGTCTGATAGACGAACGCTAGCTGACCAACACGGGTGAGCCGGATCTTCGTCACGGTTCCACGCAAAAGAGATGCTTGCTATATATACCCTGGTGATGTCGACTATCGCGGTTATGCTAACATTTTCAATGATATGTAGCTCAGATGGTGAAGTACCTTCGACGTGGAGCTGTTCTATAATAAACTTTCAACACGTAATTTGTTTCGCCTTCCCATATATAATTCAGGATATTAAGTTGGAACTTTCTTCATAATTTTATCTAGAATAAACTCAATTTCGACAGGTGCAATTGACAATATGGCACTTAACTCACGCAGGCCTGCTCATTAGCAACAATTCTCAAACCACTAGTGATCTATCCAACATGACGTAAATTAAAATGAAAAATCTCAACAGGATCATATTTAATGTACAGTAAGTATCAACTTTCTAGGAGATTAAAAAACATTTCACATTAGAACCGCTAACATCTGGTTGCAGGGCTTAGGACGAAAAATAAAACTGAAAAATCTCGATACTCTGCACTCAACGTTTGAATATACACAGCTCTAAATATCATCTTCAAATATGAATTCCAAAAATCCCTCTCAGAAGTGTATAACGAGCATGCCTGGAAATAGCGATAAAAAGAGAGGTCAACACATGGGCACAAAGCGAAGCAGCCTGGAACTACCTTAGCATTGCCGCAAAAATTAGCAGCTGAACACTGCATCTTGTTCTTAATGTCCAGACAATATTTTACGTCAAGACGAGAGATTGAGAAAATTTATAACAATAGCTATCTTCTGGCAGTAAATTGATGAAGACAAGCGTTGAACGCCAGAGAGAGGCTTTACTTCGCCTCGTCATCCTTGGGCTCGTGAGGAGCAGGCAATTTCTCCCATGAGGGTTCGATGCCCCAGATTTCTCTGCCGTACTGAGCAATGGTTCTGTCGCTCGAGAACTTGCCAGAGGACGCGATGTTCATGATGCACTTGACTGCCCATTCATTAGGTTTGAGGTACAGTTCGTTCACCTCATCCTGACACTTGATGTACGAGTCATAGTCAGCGAACAGGAAGAAGCGGTCATGGTTCATTAATATGTTGACGAGATCCTTGAACTGGTCGGGGTTGTTAGGAGAGAAGAAGCCGTTCTGGATCTGGTCAACGCACTGCCTCAGTTCGGGGTTCGAGTTGTAGTAGTCCCAGGCATTGTAGCCCCTGCACTTGAGCGCCTCGACTTCATCGACGGTCATGCCGAAGATGAAGATGTTCTCGCGGCCCATTTCCTCCATCATTTCGATGTTGGCACCGTCAAGGGTTCCGATGGTGAGAGCGCCGTTCAACATGAACTTCATGTTGCCAGTGCCGGACGCTTCAGTACCAGCAGTTGAGATTTGCTCACTCAAGTCAGCAGCTGGGATGATGCGTTCAGCAAGCGTGACGCGGTAATTCTCCAGGTAGATGACCTTCAGACGATCGCCTACGATTGGGTCGTTGTTGACGACGTTGGCGACGGCGCAGATAAGACGAATAATCTGCTTGGCGGTGTGGTAGCCTGGAGCAGCCTTTCCGCCGATCATGATCGTGCGAGGCACGAACGACCCGCCAGGGTTGGCCTTGATGCGATTGTACTGAGTAATGATGTGCATGCAGTTCAGCAACTGACGCTTGTATTCATGGATTCTTTTGACTTGAATGTCAAACATGGAGGAAGGATTCACTTTGACCTTGTATTCTTCTTCGAGTTGCTTAGCCAGACGCATCTTGTTCTCTTGCTTGGCGGTCTGCACAGCCCTCACAAAGGCAGCATCCTTAGTGAGGTTTTTGAGCTTGGCAAGTTCATCGAGATGAACGACCCAGTCCTCGCCAATCCTCTCGGCGATTGCGTCCGAGAGAGCAGGGTTGCACAGCAGCAACCAGCGACGGGGCGTAATTCCATTAGTCTTGTTCTGGAACTTCTCGGGGGAGAGCTCGTAGAAATCTCTGAAGATGTCACGCTTGATGATCTCAGAATGGATGGCGGCTACGCCGTTGACAGCGTGTGACCCCACGATGCACAGGTGAGCCATGTTCACGCGCTTGTCGCCGTGCTCCTCGATGAGGGACAGTCGGGACATACGACCCATGTCACCAGGCCATCTGAAAAATACATGCAATTAGATTCACTATTATTTCAAACATCGCTTGACACTTTTGATGAAAATTGAAAGCAAATACCCTATGTGTATCATAATAATCTCTATGACTTACATTCCCAAAGGATGATCCATCGCTTAAATTGGTCGAGCAGAACGTTTCAACGAATGTCATTCATTTACTTAGTAACGAAAGACTATGTACATTTTTCTAAAAATTACACACTGTCTTACTTCTTAGCCACATTCTGGAGATGGTGATGGTTGATCTCATAGATGATCTGGAGATGACGAGGCAAAATATGCTCGAGCATGGAGACAGACCAGCGCTCGAGAGCCTCGGGCAGCACCGTGTGGTTAGTGTAAGCAAACACACGCGTAGAGATGCTCCAAGCTTGAGCCCACGTTAGTCCTTCCAAGTCCAGGAAGATGCGCATCAGTTCTGGGATCGCCATTGAAGGATGGGTGTCGTTCAGCTGGATAGCAACCTGCAATGGCCAAACGTAGGTATAAAAAATCGGCGTACATAAACACAAGAATATCAAACAATTAATATTATTAGCCTTTTTATCTTCGATATTTCCCGGTTTCTTTCCTCGTCATCTAACTTCTTGACCAAGTGCACTAAAAAGAAGTCTCGCGAAATTCACCTTAAATTACCCGCTACTTAGAAGTATTAATCATAACACATATTTCGAACGCACCTAAGAAGGGAATAGTCTGCATTGAAAAAGAGAAAATAATATCACTTTGTGAACAATAAAATAAGTCACCGAGATGGTCGTAGGTGAATACTAACTGTGTTTACAGTATATCAACCACTCGATAGTTTATAGTACTCGTCACTACAAACAATGAACTTGCACGATAACTCGACTATTCAAGGAATGCATCGTAAGAGATTTGGATGGGCTGCAATGGAACCGATCTTCGCCGACTTGTAGCAGCGATAATATATAACACTCCTCTATAAAAACATAGTGCCACTCTTTTCAGGGAATGCATGCGACTACTTTAATACACGATAATTCGCAATGATCACAGTATAATGAACTACCTTGCATGCTGACTCACCTTTTCGGGGAATGCATCGAAAGAGGTTCGGATGGGGTTGCTGGAGCCGAACTTGGAGGACTTGTAGCGGCGAATGATGTCCTGAAGCGTTGCGGCGCACATGAAGTACTCTTGCTTGAGGCGCAGCTCCTTGCCCTCGAAGAAGTTGTCGTTGGGGTAGAGCACGCGAGAAATGTTCTCGGACAAGTTACGGTCGAGCACGGCCTGGATGTAGTCACCGTCGTTGACTGCAAGAGCAATAAAATTGTCATTGATATTTCCTCACAACCAAGTAGGTTATGATTTGACATATGTAATGGTAATTACATAATGGCATTTGATGTAAGAGAAATCACATACATGATAAACATTGGAATTTTCTCACAAGCAAATAGGTGACAAAGATTGCACACTATCAAATGTGAGGTGAATGAAGTATTAAAATTATTTATTATGCGCAATGAGCAACCACGTACAAAACTGCAAGTTGAAATTGCAAGGAGACTTGGCAGACCATAGCCTCATGGTGTTGACGACGTTGTTCTTGTAGCCAGGAATGGGGCTGTCATACGGCATTGCGAACACAGTCTGTTGATAACAAGACACATTTACCCGATATTCTTTTCTGCATCACAGAACTTTCGTGGCAATCTTGTTCTCAGCAATAAATGTTCATAAAACAGTAAACTTGATAGTCGTGAAGTAATTTTTAAATAGAGGCATTAGGCGAAACAGACATGTTTAAGGCTTCTTATTAAGAAAACATTTACAGAAAAAATTGTAGGAGACTAGTGTAAAAGCCTCAGGAAATAACTCAAAAAAACGTACATCCTTTTATTGCTGTGCTTGTACCTGCGCATCGACCCATTTCTTGCCCTTAGGTGTGTCTTCCACTCGGCCGTAGAAGTTCACAGGAATCATGTACTCGGGACGCGCCTTCTCCCACGGGTTGCCGTACCGCAGCCAGTCATCAGGCTCCTCAACCTGTGTGCCAATATCATGTAAAATAATATAACAGCGAACACTAAAATGTTCACTCTACCTTTGTGCCAATATCATGTATAATGATATATTAGCGAACACTAAAATGTTCACTCAACCTGGGTGCCAATATCATGTATAATGATATATAATAAAACACTAAAAATTTCACTTGGATAGCGGATAGTTTCCCACTAATTCTTTATTATGGTATTTCCATAACTAAGGAATCGTTTCTCTTCGATCCATTCAGAAACTGTACGACATGAAATGCACATGGCATCATATTACATTATTCATACATACAAGCTACTAAGAAGACTTACGAAACGCTGACAGGCTAATAATATAGACCAACCAGGTATTAACCGACATTAACAAAATGAGTCAAAGGTGCGCTAGGTTCACAACCGTCAATCACCAGACGGGCCAAGGCCGAGTGAAATGAAAGCGCTTGCTGCAAGTAAGATCAACTTACCGGCAATGCACTAAAAAAGCTACACGTTATTGTACTTAAGGTATTACGGCAGTTTAACATCGTCATATTGACTTCTCAGGAGCCTGGCAACATTAAGATCACCTCACCATCAATTACGCGTGTTACAGCAAACGATTGTTGTTCAGGTATCGAGTCTGCGACGGCAAGGTGCCGGCTATACATGAAAATATCTTGACATGAAGAAAAAAAGGGTTACCACTTCAAGGGTATAATATCCAAAAAAGTTGCTCACCTGTTCTCCATTCCTAATTTTTTGAGCGAAGATGCCGTACTCGTAGCGAATGCCGTAACCATAAGCAGCCATGCCCAGAGTAGCCATGGAGTCCAAGAAACAAGCGGCCAGTCGGCCCAAGCCACCGTTACCAAGACCAGCATCCTCCTCCAGCTCTTCCAGCTCCTCTATGTCCAGACCAAGTTGGTAGAGAGCCTCGTCACACGCCGACTGGATGCCCAAGTTGATCATTGTATTCGAGAGTGAACGACCCATGTAGTACTCCAGGGACAGGTAGTACACGCGCTGCACAAAAAGTTGTGTGTAAAGAGTTTCTTCCACCAGCGGGACATTGAGGTCACAACCACAAATGTGCAATGTTATGATTCTTATAAAAGAGCGCGTATTTTAGCACATTAAATCTCCAATAGTAAAAAAAGAAGAGCAAACATTGACATGGTCAATACCGACGCACGCCGGCTGATGACCCCATTCCTTCTGCAAGTCCTAAAAAGGTCAAGATCTCAACCACGCCGACAGCTGCTGATACCGCAAGATGTATAAGTGAATAAAACGATACAAGAAAACTTTATTAACGAATTCAACTGTGGCCATGGGGGCACATCAGTCCGTTGAAGAATAATTAAACTTAATCAGCACCGGCAGTTCCTCAATAGCGACATGGCATCGGTTGGCAACGGCGAGCGGCTGCAGTAGGATAAGAACCGGTTCAACCTGCAGGCGCCAATGTTCGTGTTAAGCGTGAAACTCTAGGCATACTGGTAGCATGTCTACTGCGTGAATCGACAAAAAAATGTGGCCCAAACATAAAAACAAGCGAATATTTTCTTATAACTGTCTTAACCTCAGAATAATGGCATAAAATAAAAATTCAAAATTCTTGCACCCACAGAAAACACTCAAGAACACGAGTGAATATTCTCTGTACACATACGTGCGATACATACACATGAAGACGTACATTAGTCAGTCGTCCATGAGCAACACACATACGAGCACGCATAGACAGTAGATTCATCGCAGCATGCGTGCGGTTGGCGCCAGGACGGCCGGGCTAGAGAGGCTCTCCATTTAAAGCTCCATAGCAGCACAGACGTCAAGAAGTGCAATCAACAAGACACCGGGATTACTTGTGACTTGTACTTAATTAAGATCAAGCTGTCACTATGTACATGCAGCACTGGAAGCACCTCCACCATAACGAAAAATTTACAATAAAATCTAATCTAAGTGAATTATTTATTCAATATGCCATTTGTTAGAATAATTTCCTCTGGGTTAATTTAACTATATTTCATTACTTCGCGGAGAATTAAAAAAAAAACAACAACGAGAAGTGTCAATTTAAATCGCGATTGATGATGCTCTTAACGCATTGAATGTGCGTGCCAACACGTGAAAACCATCACAGATTAACAGAAATATTCATTACTGTATAAAACCTTAGTGCTTCAAAGACAGCTCGGGTGTGTAATCTCAAGCAGCCATGCAACGATAAGCGGCTGAGCACCTCTTTTGAGACAAGAAGATATCTAACTTACTAGGAGAATTCCTGATATCAGTAGACACTTCTATGACCTTTCACAGGTTTCGCGTAAAACTCGTTAAATTGCAAAGAGAGCTGAAGCAAGAAGAATAAATGGGTTTTGAAAACGTGGTTTAGAGAAAAGCTTCATCGAGTAATGTCAATAACTACAGTAATATCCTCAAGCCAAGTGTAGATGCCATTCTATGATGGTCATAAAGTCGTATCTCGCGTCTGCATTAGACACGATTGCGACAAGAATCAATGATATTTGTCCTACAGATTCGTCAGATTATATTTTTTAGAAACTAAGCATGAGACCGGCGTAGAGCGACAATATCATTGGTGAGTTGGGCCTCCACGAGACACCGGCGTGCATGGTATAGACGCCCCTCTCCTCCCTCGCCCCTCTTCTCCCTTGCTCCTTTTCTCCCTCGCTCCTCTTCTCCCTCGCTCCTTCCTCTCTCCAACTCTCGCCATGGTGGTGCCGTCTGCCGTCGAACTAAGTCAACAGCATAGGCCTCTCGTTCTTTAAGAGCAGGTTAAAAACCTTTAGAAAGGGCTAGCTTAAAAGCCTCAGTGACGTATGCAACGGTTTCTTACATGCAAGGATTAAGTTATGATGAATGGCTCCATAGATAACTCGGACGACACAGTCCCAGGTGTGGTTCTCTGTTATTATTACTATGTACGTATCTGCCCTGCAACCAACAAAAGTCATTACGCTAGCACGAATTACAATTTACAAATTAAACTAAATTAAACTCCTTTGCATACGGTACTCAATTTAATTAATGATTATTTGAATCAAAATTTAAATAATAACCGTTCCTTTATAAGTTTATAACACGTTCAAGGTCAGTCGCCAAGGAGGATCGCCACCGGCCCTCCTGACGCGACGTGTTGGCAGCGACAAGAGCTAGCGGTTCGATCAATACACTACCTAACGTGTACGTCTTACCAGAATATTAACTCTCGTGCACTATACTTAAAACAAATAATTTCAAAGAAAAAATCAGTTAAAACTAAATGTCAACATTATCGTTTAGACTTTAGACAAGGCTTCCAAATAATCAGGAGCAACTATGCAGTGAACATCTTTGTCCGGAACATCTCCGATCAAACTAAAATACACATTTAAAAAACTATTCTACGTTCAGGAAGCAGAAAGCACAAAAATTTTAACAACAGCAAATTTTAGTACTGATATTCTCGGTAGAGAAAACAAATTGAATATAAAAAGGAGCAAAGAACATCGTCCAGACAATGAGGCTATTTTCATTATGAACCCTTGTTCCTCTCGCGTGCAGTTATAGAATAGAAAAGAAGTGTCGGCGTTGAAGAAATAGGCCCATGGCCTGTTGCCGATTCTTGAACTTTTCGTGACTTGATTCACAAGGGATCCGGCCTTTGGAACCCGATCTTTCCATAGCTGACGATTGATTGAGATAGCTGCTGGACTTCTTGCCTGGTCCGTAATTTGCTAGGCATTGGAATATGAAGAACTATTTTAACTGATCTCGTGTATCGTTTCGACGCTATTGTTTTGAAGCCAGTCATCACTTACAGCTTTAAATATCCTGATCAGCGTAATCAAGAAAGTGAAGTTTAGTTAACTGCATTTTGCGAATAGGTTGCTGTAACATTGCATTATAATTATCATTTGTATATTTTATTCGACTCGTCAGAGGCTTTGGAACTTAAGCGCTTTTCTCGCTTAAGACCGTATATATGTTCGCGATAATAGCGAACCGTCTGTCAGGATTTGGAATAACAAATCAAAGTCATACTTTATGGGCGTCGTCCAAATACAAGTTGCTTGGCTAACAGTTAGTAAACAGAGAATGACATTCATTTGGCGCAATAGTGATGAGCTTCGCTATTTTAAGAACTACATAGCAATAGTCTTGAACACCAATATCATCGTCCACCTTTATGACAAATAAAATTACCGAAATACTTATAAATGGCAAGAAATGTTTATGTCATTAGTTTAATTACCAATTTGCAGGGTATAGTACGTAGACAGATAAAACAAGGAGAGTATAGAGTTTCCATCTGAAATAATTTGAAGAATACGGAGCTCGGATCATTTTCACGGCACGCGCGCGCGATTTGGTTCAAGGTCATCATAAGCCGGAACGCTGCATGTGCCACCGGCACTGCATGTGGCATCTGCAGAGCCGGGCAGCGCTACTTTGAAATGAAGCGGCCGCTACCGCTTCCGCTACATGCTCTAAATGTAGCGGGCGCTACCGCTACCGCTACAATTGCTTAAATGTAGCGCCGCTGCCGCTACTGAAAATGTAGCGACCGCTACATGTAGCGCGCTACTGCCCACCTCTAGGCATCTGCCTATGCACCGGTGGTGCATAAACAGTCGAGGGTGTTTCGTCCGAACGCGCTCGACCCTCGGTACCTGAAGGTGACTTCTGCATCGGCAAGCTCAAGACTTGCCAGATCGCTGGCCCATTTTGGCAGCGTGCCACGACACGAAGCAATGAACGAACTACGAGGACTCAAACAATATTCGATCCAACGCCGGAACAAATTATTGCGTACGAGCGGAAGAAAACATTGCTTATGTACTTCCGTGCTCTCAGGACCCACAATATGAGGCTATGATGCACATCGATAAATAAAGCCTAATTTCTCAGGAAATATGGAGCTGAAAACATGAATTCTAAGGTAATTGAACATGCGACTTCCAAAAGAACCATCGCTGATCTAATGGAAGATGAATAAAATTAATTAAATAAAACAAATTCCTTAGCTCTAAGATTATTTTTAACATAGCAAATATTAAATTGAGGCTTATTGACGTTTTCCTAGGACAATAGCTCTACTCACAACTCATGACGCTCGTGGAACAACTAATATTCAGTGTAAGAAGAAAATTAAGAGTGGAAAACCAAACAACAAAACCTGCTGCACTTGTGCAAGCAGCACATGATCGCCGCAGGCAAGCAGCAGCTGCACTTACGCCGCAAGGTAACGTAGGAGGCTGACCATTACTAGACGATGGGGTGAGCGTTTCTAAATGATGGGGTTAGCGTTTCTAGATGATGGGGTGAGCGTTTCTAGATGATGGGGTGAGCGTTTCCAGATGATGGGGTGAGCGTTTCCAGATGATGGGGTTAGCGTTTCCAGATGATGGGGTTAGCGTTTCTAGATGATGGGGTTAGCGTTTCTAGATGATGGGGTGAGCGTTTCTAGATGATGGGGTGAGCGTTTCTAGATGATTGGTGGAAGTCTAGTAGCTTCTTCAAACTATCGCCAGTCATGAAAAGATCCGGTCAAATGACACGAGTTTAGATCTATGAACAAGGCACGAAATGGAAAAGAATCGGTGACAGGCCACTTCATGCCTACACTTCAGAGCCGACATCACTATGTTATGTTATGTTATGTTATGAGAAGACATGGTTACAACGAGAGAGTAATGATTAGTATAGTGTGGAAAAAGATCTCGGAGTTTATGTCGACAAGGAGATGAAATTTTCTAAGCATGTTGAAACGCAAGCTAACACATCCAACAAACTTCTTGGACTAATCAGACGCTCATACGAGTTCCTATAGATGCAGAAGCGATGAAGCAGTTGTTTGTTGCTGTCGTGCGCCCGAATCTAGAGTTTGGAAACGTTGTGTGGTCACCGAGAATTGAAAAGGACAAAAATTTAATAGAGAATGTTCAAAGACGTGCAACAAGGATAATTCCAAGCTTGCAGGGCAAGTTCTATAAAGAAAAATTAAAGATTATGAAGCTTCCAAGCCTCAGTTATCGACGTCTGCGTGGGGACCTCATTGAAGTATACAAGTATACTCAGTCATGGTTTATACAAAGTCCCCGATGGATTACTAGAATTTGAAACAAGAACCAACACCAGGGGGCACGGCTATAAACTAGAAAAACTGCGCTGCAATTTCTCCACACGCCAACATTTCTTCTCGCTTCGAATCACCGACATAAGGAACATCAGCCTCCCCGATAACATAGTTGGCGCTCCAAGTATGAACGCGTTCAAGAACAGACTAGATAAAGCTATGGAAAAATATATGTTCAGATTTGAAATGCCTAGCTCCTTATCGAACCCGGTGGAAGTCTAGTAGCTACTTGAAACTATAGTCAGTCATGAAAAGATCCGGTCAAATGAAACGATATTAGATCTTCTGTGAACAAGGCACGAAAAGGAAAAGAATCGGCGACAGGACACATCAGGCCTACACTTCAGCACCGAGATCACTATGTTATGTTATGTTAAGGTATACGGGAGCAGGCCTCGCATCCGCGTGACGTGTTGTGATGTATTGATGAGCTCACAATAATGTGTTCAATTCACAACACGCGCAGGAGTAATTATGCCGGCATGGAATACTTTGAAGCAAGAGATGTGAATCTGTGAGGCAAGGTAGGTGAATCTGTGAGGTAGGATAAGTGAATTAGCGAAGTAAGATAGGCGAATCTGTGAGGCAATTATGCGAATCTGTGAAGTATAAGATATGCGAATCTGTGAAGTGAGATATGTCAATCTGTGAAGTGAGATATGTCAATCTGTGAAGTGAGATATGTCAATCTGTGAAGTAAGATAAATGAATCTGTGAAGTAAGATAAATGAATCTGTGAAGTAAGATGTGTGAATCTGTGAAGAAAGATGGATGAATCTGTGAAGTAAGATGTGTGAATCTGTGAAGTAAGATGTGTGAATCTGTGAAGTAAGATGTGTGAATCTGTGAAGAAAGATGGATGAATCTGTGAAGTAAGATGTGTGAATCTGTGAAGTAAGATGTGTGAATCTGTGAAGAAAGATGTGTGAATCTGTGAAGAAAGATGGATGAATCTGTGAAGTAAGATATGTGAATTAGTGAAGTGAGATAGATGAATCTGTGAAGTAAGATATGCGAATCTGTGAGTTAAGATATGCGAATATGTGAAGTAAGATAGATGAATCTGTGAAGTACGATATGTGAATCATTGAATTAAGATATTTGATGCTGAGAGACAAGATATGCCATTCGTGCGACAAGTTATGCGATTTGGAGGGACAAGATATGCTAAGTATGGGATTGTGTGAAGCAATAAATGTTATTCTTCAAAGCAATGATTGCAATTCTCTAACGCAGCGACAAGGAGTTCAAGCAAGCTCAAGTGTAGCAACACCTTACTTTCAGCTGTGTAAAAATAGCTAAGCAAATATGAACACATGTGTAGCTAATATGAAGGCCCAGTGAAATTTCACTGCTTGGGTGGGTGAAGCAAATTTAAAGGTATTCAAGCACAATAATACTTGGAATAAAATAAACATAAAGGCTCCTGTGACGTAAAGGGTACTAAGGAGTTAAGCGTAAATGACGCCATGCCAGTTCAGAAGATTCGTTTGATGCATATCAGTTAGAATTACAGAGAAATTTGTGTAAGACTTCGCATATATAATAACGGTTCAAGTTGTAAAATAATGGTATATTATTTAAAAAGTTCAGGTCTTCAAGTTAGGAAAAGAACTTGTTGGCTCAACCGTAAAATTATCCACATTTTTATTTATTGAAGAAAAGAGGTGACCCCGGCGGCTCGAGGAAAAGCTCCACATTGAATTAAGAAATTATATATACGTACATACATGCATATACATTCGTACGCTGATACGCACGTATATACATACATACACACACACGCACACACACATACATTGGCACATATACGAGATAAGGCATTCGATACACAAGAACAGTGATGGTAACCATTTGAACTGTCAATACAGACAAGACCATTGCCAAACGTTTATAAACTAACGCTTTATAGTTATAAACAGAGCAATAATTACATATTCATGAGTTTTCTCCCTGACCGAGAACCGTCCATAGACGTACAAACAAAGCGTGCATAAGAAGAAACTAGGCGGAGCTGAGATAGCATTCGATTCACAAACTAGCCTAAACTTGACGCACACCGCAGCAGGCCTAACAGGAGGCACTCAATAAATAAATCTTACCTTAGGATCTTTCTCATAGTAGTGTTGCTGAGTGCGGATCCAACGTGAGACGAGATGATCTCGCACCGTGTGCGCAAGTGCAAAGTAGTAGTCTCGCGGTGTAGAGACATTGCGATCCTTGACCAAGGTGTAATGAAGATGTCTATTAAATGTCTTCTTCACATTTGACACGTTCTCTACTTGCGCTATTCCTCGTACTGAAATCTGTTTCCTCTTGTCGAGATCAGATTGAGGAGTCGCCATTGTGAAATAGAGAGCAGCTTACCAGATACCTTGACGAGGTCTGAAGCTACACTGGTAGCCGTGTGGCAGCACCAGCAGACGACCTATGACAGCTGATTAAAGGACACTGAAGGTCGCGCATGCGATGTTGACAGAATTAAAACCCATCTATGTTATCGCAAGCTGTAAAATTACTAATGCATTAGAAGATCTACATTTAAATTGTTTGCATGTGGCCTAATTTATTTGACGATTGAAATCAGGTAACATTTAAGACCAATTTATTGTTGATACAGTTGCGTGTTTACGTAAGGATGGGCATTCATAATAAATGAACCACAGAACCAAGTATCGTAAAATATACTCAGACGATCAGTCCGTAAGAGACTACAAAATAAAAACATTATACTTCAAATTATGCTAAATATACCTACAATATTTCAAGGTCACGAGAAATAGGCAAGGCTAACGTGCTTGACCTTTGCAATATTGCCAATGTATTCACATACAATTGCTATTGCACATCCTTAACATACATTTTTAGCCAAATTGTATGATATTGCTTAGATTGTCTTTATATTATTATCTTAATGACTCGTATTATTACCATCTGTGAGGATGAAACAATAATTATAATTTTTATGAGGTAGACAAAAATATTGATTTGACTCTCTATTCTCGTAAATTTTCAATAGAAAGACGGATAGATGGGAAAATTTGGTTAGATGGGAACACAAAGTGACCAACACATGTCACTTGTATTAATTAGCTTCCATCATTAGTAGAGTGTAGATCATGTGGTAATTTGTAAGCAATGTTCTCGCATGCACTTTGTCGGACGCTTTTCCGGCCATCAGATTGTTAATCTTCTTAAAAATCTAACAGTGAGGTTTAAAGGAATGTAAATATGTAAATAAAGTGTTTCTCAATACTGTACAACTGATTATCTTATTGCCTACGGACCTACGGTAGCCGCATGATTGCCTTCGGACGAAATGATATCACATTGCACGTATTTAAATTTGCTCCGGCGGAAGGATATAGAATGCGTCGAGCAGAAATGCAGTCATAGTTAAACGGGAGACTTTTTCTTAAAATGCATAAATTGTGTCTAATTCTGTGTATGCTGAGCTAAAATTGTAGAAAATCAGACCCAATTTCAGCTCTTCCTAACCAATCAATTAGGTATTGTTGAGCTGGCAAATGTTGGAAAAATCGCTAACGAGTCTCGTTTGGTCACTCGTCGAAGTAAGACGTGTGGTGTATAACTCTCCTTAAAAGCCGGTTGTGACGCAGAGCCCAGAAAACGGGTAGCTGTGTATTGAAGTGTGGTGTCGTGAAGTGTAGTGTCGTGAAGTGAGGTGCAGTGTCGTGAGGTGAGGTGCAGTGTAGTGTCGTACTAAAGTGAAGTGTAGTGTTGTGAAGCGAGGTGTAGTAGCCGAAGCAAACCATCTGCTTCCGAATCATGTCTCTTCCCGAAAAAGATGGCTTTCAAGCTCCTGGCCCGCCTGGGAACT